TCCCCCTCCGCTCCCATAGACACACCTCATGGAGAAGCATCTTTCTGATGATCAAGGGTGCTCCAGGACAAGGAAGAGGGTCCTCCCTCCAAACCCCTTTTCTGACCATTTCTGTCACATCTGTCTAAGCAAGGCCACATAGATGGGGAGAAGCTGGAGTTCGCCTTCCCATTGGTGACACCACCCCTGTGTCTCTTCATTTGCCTCACAGCTTCCAGTGAATTCATTGCTTATCTACACCAAATTTTCACTCATTCATAGGGAAGTGAGGAATAGTCAGCTTTAAAACAACTTATTCCCTTATACAGTACATGCCACAGAGTGTGTGTGGAGAGCAGAGATACTCAGGCTTAGGTTCTCATCTGCCACCTTGTGGGATCCAGGGATCCATCTCAGGTCGTGAAGCTTGTGCACAAGGGCTTCTTCTATACACTGAGCCATCTCGATGGACCAACTTTCCTTTACTACCGAGTTACTGGATCTTGAGGATAAGAAATGTCTTCCAGGAAAATCCCAAAACCTTGGTACCGATGATGTTTTCAGTGGTATAGATGTAATTAATTCTCTCTATTCAAATTCCTGTAGCTTTTACATCATTTGATGATTCCTCCTTGTAATAAGTAGGTGAATGCACTGGCCGTCCAATAAGTGTTCTGATTTCTGAGACATCCATTATGCATTTGGACATCTGCCTCAACATAGTCTAATAGGAGCCAGGCATGGTGGCGCACAGGAGGCAGAACCAGGCAGATCTCTGTGAGTTGCAGGACAAGTAGGGCTGTTAACAGAGAAACTCTGTCTCAAAAAAACCCAAACCCCAAAACAAAAACTAACAACCTCCCCCCCCCCACCAGGAAAAGGTAGTCTAATATGTGTGTATCCACACGAGATTGGCATTCAAATTTACCATCTGTAAGGCTGTCGGCAACCCCTGTGGCAATCTGACCATTCTTTGTCACCTTCCACTATTCTATGTTTACCTTACCCACAAAATAGGAGCAACTAACAGAAAATCTAACTTCACCGAGAAGTCTGGAAAAATTAAACATGCCTAAAGGATCATGGACTCTTATTAGCTAAACCCTTGAACAATTTGGTATGATTTGGGCTCCAGGGTTTCAAGTTCCCAATGCAGTGTTTAGGGATGGGGCTCTGAGGGGATGATTGGATTATATGGGTGCTAATTCACCTAATTGATGAATTACTCCATTGATAGATTCAAAACTGAGTGGACACTGGGAAGTGGTGGAAAGTGTGAAAAGTGGGTCTGGCTGGAGAAAGTGGGCCATCTTTGAAGGGTGTCTCATGTCCTGGCCTCTCTGCATCTGCATCTCGGGTGCTGATGAGGTGAATACCACCACAAGCTGCCCACTATGATGCTCCCTCTCACCATGCACACGCCCCAAAGCAAAAGTTGAAATCCTGAGATAGCAGAAATCTTTCCCCCTTGTTTGTGCTGGGTGTTTGTCAAAGTGGCACAGATGACTAACACATCACACAGACTTTTGAGTTAGAGGTAAAATTCAGCAAGCATGAGCACGTTGCTTCTGGATGTGCCTATATAGCAAAAGCTTCCAGACTTAACTTACTGGTCACAAATGACAAGTTATGTACTTACAGAGGATCCCTAGCTGCCGCTTTAGAAGTGTATGCTGCCTGCTTACTATTTGCATAACATCATTAGATGGGCTGAGAATGATGGCATGCACCTGTAACTTCAGTACTTATGAATCTGAGTCAAGAGGACTGTGAGTTAGAGGCCAGCCTGGGCTATATAGAGAAGAAACCCATTTCAAAACCCAAAGGGCTGGAGATACACCCAGTGGTAGACTATACACCTAATGTGCAAGTCCCTGGGTCCAATCCCCAGTAGTGAAAAGTATCACATAGATGTGATGGTTACACTAGAAACTAAGCAATGCTTTTGAGGATCAGGGTGGGAACAAAAATGCTAAATACCTCTTTATTCTAACTTTTGTACCATGAGAATGCATCACTCACTGAAATAAGCAAAAGCAGCTACATGGAACACTGTGCCTTGTGTAAAGTGCAGGGTTTATCATGAGGCATGCAGACATGCTACACTTTGGGTTTTCTTGGTACCCCTAAATGGGGTAAAACCAGATGCCCATAGACTAAGTTTCTTAAAGTCAGATGTGTGATAACTACATTTTCTAAAATCTATATTTGATGTTATGGCACCTTGGGGACACATTGACTTGGACTTTCACCCAAGGATAGTTCTTAGAGATCCACAATAAGGACTCACCTGCAAACCCCCCAATCCAGACCCACACCCCCAGCCACCTCCTTTACCGGCTTCCATATTCTGGGACACTATCCACATGTCCTAGTGAGCCTGGGCCCAGATACCAAACAACTAGGGGATGATTCTGCCCCTGAAAGCATTAAATTAAATTCTACATTGGTCCCTTCCCCTGTGCCCTACCTGGTCCTCCCCTCAGAAGCCACACTGAAGTCTCTTGCTAGGTGTAGTGCTGGGGCTTTCTTATATAGTGATCATGACATGTGCCTTTCCACTGTGGATCTGCAAGAATAACAAACTATCCCTTGAGTGACTGTCACCTCCTGACCTATTGGCCTAGCCATGCCAACATAATAATATAATCTACATTTAAAAATAGAATAAGAGTATAATGCTGTGCTGCAAGAGGTACGTTAGCCATATAGATATGGGACAACAACAACAAAATCATTACTGGAGATGTGACAGAATGCCTTCTTAAGTAAAAGCCAAGAAAGTCACCTCTCTCCAGGAGGACAAAGTAAGGATACATGGCTCAGGGTAAGGTGGCCACCAACACCCTACAAGAATGTCTACCAAGTGCTCTCTAGGTGAGAATTGCATTCTTATGATGAACCCATGGTCCACTGAATGAATGACCGGAGGTAAGTGTGTGCACATGCCTGGTCTACAAGGAGGACATGTACTACAAAGTGTGTGAATTCTGTGTGTAGTGACCAGAGGACACTTCTGGTGTGTTGAGGATCATATTTTGTATTTTTTTTACTTTATGTAAGTCTCACAGGAGAAAACCAGCATTATTTACAAAAAGGGGAGGATCCTTTAGCCTGTGAATAGCGTGTGCCAAAGGTGCTTTTCCAGCTGAGTAGACTTAAATGATTTTATTGGCCAAAGTCTTTAATTGCACACTACTTAGGAGATGCTTATCCATTGTGGATGGGACCCAGAAGAGCAGTCAGTACACAAACTCAAGTAATAAGGGGGCTTCCCAGATCAGGATGGTCCTCTGCCTAGATCAGGGATGAAAGATGTGGTCGCCCATGAAACAAAGGGAGAAGCAGATCTCTGGAGGAAGGGATGGCAGGTGTGTGCAACTTCTCTTGAACCTGCTCCTCTGTTCATTCTCAGAACTGACCATTTAGAGGCTGCAAGTCCACTTGGTCAAGTTCCCTGTTCTTGTTTTATGCCCACACTCACAACTGGGATCTTTCACCAAAAAGTCAGACTTTTTCTCTCTATTGGAAACTAATACATCTGACCATAGCAGCCATACTAAACAACAGCGATGTCTTCCTGTGTGCCAGACAAACTCTTTGTCCACCATAGACCTGTGACTCTATATGCCCGAAGAAGATGCTGAGTGTCAGAAACCTCACCATCACACTGTAAGGAATATCCATCTGCAATCCCAGCACTCAGGAGTCTGAGGAAGGAAGATTTTTGAATTCATGCCAGCCAAAACTTTTCTCAAAACAAAACAAACAAAGAACCCTATTCACTTATACTTCACTTTTTCTCTTTCTGGGGTGGGGGTAATAGAACGGAATTGAGACAGAGTCTCATATATCATAGGGTGTCATTGAATTCCATCTATAGCCAAAGATGACCTTGAACTGGTCCTCCTGCTTCTATTTCCCTAGAGTGGAGATTAAGGACATGTGCTACCATGCCTGGTTCTATGTGGTGCTGGGGACTGAACCCAAGGCTTTAAACATGATGGTAAGCGAGCATTCTACCAAGTGAGCATCACCCTCCAGCGTTTCTGGTTCTTTGCAATGTGGAAACATGAAGAACTGGCTTGGAAGTGCACAGTTTCCCCACAAAAAGACAGAGAATGGACTGTTTTGATAGGACACCAAACACAAAGATATTTGGCCTGTATTTTAGAGGCCACATTGAACAATTCTATAGGAAAAGAAAATGATACTTCCTCGGGGGAGGGGTGGGGAGTCTGAAAGAGGCTGTGGAACCAAACTCACGTGTGACAGAGAAGTAGTCTGAGCCAGTAGTTTGAGAAGAAGAGACAAAGTCCCTGGCCAAGTGCAGGTTTGAGGAGCATGTCTGTAGAGTGTGTTCAGTGAGGGTGACCCAGGCATCAAACATTGAAAGATAGATTAGAATTAATTGAACACATTGGGTTTTGTTTGGTTTTGCTTTTGGTTTTGAGACAGAGTCTCACGATGTAGACTGAACTGGCCTTGAATTACAAAGATCCCCATGTCTCAGTCCCCCCCACCCCCCAGTGCTGGGATTAAAGGTGTGCACACATGGGTGTTAATTGCTAAGGGAAACTTTGTTTTTGTATTGATCTGATTTTGACAGTAAGACAACAAAGATAACTGGTCGACCCCCGCCAGTCCCTCAGTAGCATATATGAAAAGCAGGATGCATTAGGCTGAACACAGTTGGAAGGCAAAATTCACAGAAATATCATTTGTATTGTAGCTGGGTCACCAGAGACTCTTCCTGTGACTGCCAAAGAGGAAAGTGGAGAAGGGGGAACCCTTAAGTCAAAATGAAAGCAAACCCAAGCTGTTTGATCAGTATCTGGTTTGGATCGATCACTCCCTGGGGTGAGAACACATTTCCTAAATACTAGTGTGTCAGGAAGAGTGCTCCGGTCAGGTCTCAGGGTAGAGGTGGGGTGGGGGTGGCCGTCAGCCTTTACCTTCCTTCTTATCCCTAAGCAAGGAACAAAATGAACCACATCTTTTTACACAAACATCCCTGCTAGTCAAAGTAGAGCAATAGATTTTATTTAATTAAAATAGATTAAAAACAGACTGTGTAAAAGAATTAGAATTTTCAATAATTTACTATTATTTACATTAGCAAATGCTGGTCGTTAGTAGACACAGTGAGGAGACGAGCGGGCAGGACCCAGACTTGCCTGTGGTCCAAGCCGTAAGCTTCCCTTCCTCCCCATCCCTTCCTTTCTGATTCATCATGGCAGTTGTGCCATTGAGTGCACCAGGGGAGGAGCTTCGAGCACCCGAGATGGTAAGAGCATCACAGTCAGGCAGAAGAGCTGACAGGGGCTGGCAGAGAGGAGGGAACTCTTTGCTCTGGAGGAAAACTTCACACTGGGTTCATACACACAGGACTCTGAATGCTTTCCCCTCCCTGATGTCAGCACTTCCCTCCAGGCTTGACATTGCGTAAACACTCCTTCCAGCTGACCCCCAAACCCCATTTCCAGGGAGGAGATGTAAAGCAAGAAACAAAAGCCACACATCTCAGGGAAGCCCTGAGTCACTTACTCTCCCCTGCCCTTGTGGTCCAGACCTTGGTGATTTATCAAAAATCCTCTTGAAATGTGCCTTTGACACATGAGAGAAATTTGGGGAGTCAGGGCCCTGTGACCAAGCGGAACGCTCCCCTCAAGAAGGCAGTGAGAACAAGAGGAAGCATGGCCCGCAGGAACAGTGTGTCCCGGGAGAAGAGGCAGGCTAGCGGGGCTGAGTGCTGGTGGAAGACCCCTCAGAGCTGCAGGGCATGTGGCCTCCTGTTGCTGGCGTCAGCCTGTGGACAGCAAGAGCCCCTGTGCTTCCGCTTTCAGGATTTCTAGGCCTGGTGAATCTCAGGGCCCAGGAGGCCCAGGCTGAGCAGCGGCTTTGGCCCGTGGGGGCCACACAGTGGACAGCATGAGGACATGCAGTCAAGGACCAACTGAGGCAGAGAAGGCCTGATGGAGTGGCTCAGTCCAAGATGTCTGTCTCAAACGGAACCAGGTGGTAATAGGACAAGTTGGTGACATAAGCTGCTGGGTCATCACCATCCTCCAGCTCCGGAGAGAACTTGCCGCCATTCTCAAACCTGGAAGAGACGACAGAGGTGACCTCAGCTAGAGGGGAAAGGACAAGAGGCGGGACAAGGGGCAGCCAGTGCAGTGTAAGGATATGGAGAGATCCAGGCTCTGTGGAAGGGGACGAGGGATGTCAATGAGATGAGGTCCTTCCCAGGCATGGGGCAGACACATGGGAAGAACCGTGAATAAAAAAACGGAAAAAAAGGGGGGCCACGCCCAAGAAAAACCTCCGAACCTTGGGGCCCCCGCAAACTCCCGCCCCCGGCCCAACAAAACAAGGGGACCTTCATCCTTCCTGTATTTGCAGTGATATTCTGGCTCCTGTTCTGTGCCAGGCTCTGCATCAGCTTGGAGAGCAGCAGGGACTGGGCAGGTGGAGGGTATGTTTCCTCAGGGAACAGGAGCTTGCAAGGACACCAGAGAGGCATACTACAGGAGGTTCCTTACAGTCATGGAGGGAGGCTCTACCTGGTGGCCAAGCCTGGTTTGAACCAGTCTGATTCAGGCTCAGAAGGATGAAAACGGCATGGATGTGGGACGCTTACACAGTGTGTGCACAGGACCATCCTGAACTTCCCACCACCTGAACTGCCTTCATCACTTCCTCTCAGACCAAAGGATGTCCTGAACATAGGAGGAACAATGGGAAGCTGGAAGAAGAACGGCCAAAGGCCTCAGGACCAGCACTGCTAGGGGGCCCGCTGACCCTCCTGCCCCTTCTCCATCAGGCATACTGATCCCCAAATGCTCACTCACTGGTGCCCACCTTCCTTCTGGGTCAAATTTGGATGCTGTCTGGATGCTGGAGACTCCACTGCATGACAGCCCCTACTCACAGCCCAGGGCCACATGGTAAGCATCAAGTGCCACCAGCCTTCCGGTCTCTGAGTGTTCAACAGCCTACTTCTAAGGGACTGAAGCACCTTCTGGATCACAGTCACTGGGAATACTGAAGAACTTCACAGAGGGCATGATGTTGGAAGTTTGCATGAGAATGTGGTGAGAAACTGTGTTGACAGAATAATCCTAGCCTCTAGGCATGCCTGGCCAAGACACCGCTGGATACTGCTCCCACCACATGCAGTTTCTTGGGGACCTGTGGCCGGCAGAGATGGCATTCTGGTGCACACTGAATGAGTGTTAATGGAAGAAAAGTCCTTCAGCTTTGTGTGAGGAGGTGCTAGCCAGAGACTGTCATTGTAGAGGAGTCAGCTGGAGACCTTTTCACACCACCACCTGCTACAGGGCCTAGGTCTGCCTCCACCGCATTCCCAGGGACCCCTTTCTGTCCTCAGGAACACCCAGCAACAAAGCCAGACTTCCTGTCACCCTGTCGGAGGACTCTGCTACCCAGGTAATTCACCAAGGAGCTGACCTGCAGGAGCTAAGCATGCAAGCAGCTGTTCCTCCAGGCCTCTAGGTGGCAGGCTCTCTCCAGCACATCCTGGTCAGAAGTCCCATTGTAGAGGTGGGAGACTGCAGGCAACAGTGGCCTTTGGCTGTCCAGCCCTCAGTAATCCATGCTCCTCTCTAGAATAAGGTTCTAATGGAGCACTCATAAACTTGTGAGACCACCGGCGTGTCACAGCTCCAGTCCAGGAAGTGTAGAGTAATATAGATGCTGGATCCGGAACCAGAAGTTTGGGTTTCACACCTCAGAGCCAACACAAACTAGATCCTAGAGCTTTGCCACTTCTTCAGAACTCCCCTCACATCTAGTGATTGGGTGATGAGGCCTCTCCCTAGATCCATTAACCAAACTCTCACAAGCTTTTAAAATAGGAACCCCTAAACTGGCAGCATCTGCTGCTGGGTGCCTGGGGCCATGTCCTTTCCTTCTTATAGAGTACTGCACAAGCCACCAGCTTTTAACCCCACATAAGAAGCTGTGTACTCACAGATGCTCTGTGGAATCCGCATCCAGGAGCTGGTCCTTCCCGTTGGGTATGCTGTGGTCAATGACTATTGTTTCTGTGTTTGCCAAACAAAATCCATTGGACCTCATGATTTCTGGAAACCAAAGCCATAAGGTAAGTATTCAGTGCCTGAGGTCTGGAACTTCAGGATTTCTCACAGACTGACTGCTCTCAGCCTTGCCCAGAGCAGCTTTCTTTCCGCAGTGGGCAGTTGTTAATGCAAACTCATAATTGATCACAGTGCTGGGAATAAGTGATGCTAAGTGCTCAGCCCCAAACAGGACATCTCTAGCACCCCGCCCAAGGCTCAGGGACCATTGTGGACGAGGAGACAGAAAGAATGTAAGAGCTGGAGGATGGCGAGGAGGGCTACGAGATGCTGTCTTCTGGACTTGACCCAGCTGTTGCACCCAGGAATTCACAACAACAGTGGTTACCTGCACAAGACTGGATCCATAAGCACAGATATGGGTACTTTAGAAAAATCAACAAACAAAAGTGGCTTCCTGTGTCTACACTGGCTCTTAGGTTCCAGGGGCTCTCACATGGCTGGGAGGGCTGAAATGGAGGGTTGGTGGCAGTCACTAGGCTGGAGGTTTAGACTGCAGTTTCAAGGCCTTGGGACTCCTCTCCTCCATGGAACACCGTCAAGATTGTATTTGAGAATCTCCAAAAAATTTACCTAACTCCAGTATCCCAGGATGTCCTGAACTCCATCATGGCAAACAAGTATCCATTTAGCTACAGACACCCTCTTTAAACAGTAAAATTTAACCAATGTTCAAATCTCTAATGCAAAACAGGGCAGTGTTTCTAGAATCTGCACCCATCCTCCATCTAGGCTTTATGTCATCTTCAGATCATGGATAACACCTGATACAACGTAAATGATAAGTAAATCATTATTACAATGATCATGGATAACACCTGATACAATGTAAATGATATGTAATCATTATTATAATGATGAGGAGAAAGGGCTGCACTTGATCAGTAGACATAGTACTTTCCCCCAGTATTTTGGCCTGTGCTTGATTGAATCCACAGATTCTGGACTACAGATACTGTGTGAGAACCCAGGATGGCTTGGCTCTCTCTCTGTTTTTAATCTACTGCAGCCTTGACATTTCAGAAGGGACTGCGTTTCTCTCTCTTTCCTCAGGAGCTCAGCACCCTAAGTTGCCATCTTGGCCCTGGGATCTTCCCTTTTCTGTGAACCTCGCTCATCTCCAGTCCTTGGCTCTTAGGCGGCTGAGCTCCATTTTCAGGATCACTTCTGTTAGTCTTCGCAAGCCAGGCTCTCACCCTAAAAGACACGCTTAACGCATACCCCAGATGATGGGTTTGTTTAGTTCACAGGATCTCATCCTCACTTTAGGGATGCAGCTGACTTGAGTCCCTCCTCTCCTCCTGGCACACAAAGCCAACAAGAGCATCTCTCCCCATCTTAAGGGTTACGGACATCAGAGGCCTTTGTGGCTAAAGGATTCTCTTAGTCCTCTCCCCACTTGACCATGGTCTAACTTATTCCTGAGTATAAAATTTGCTTTTTCATGAGGAGATTGTTACTTCCTCTTTATTTTTAACCTTTCTAGGCATTTGGTGCTCCATTCTGTGAATTTTTCTCCATATGCAGAGAATTGGGGAACTACCCAGAAAGGAATAAAGAAAAATAGGTTTCCTTTTCCCTCTCACAAAAACGATTATTCCTCAGTTTGCTAAGTATTGCTGAAATATATGTCCGGCTTCCTGGAGAAGGGATCAGCATGTGTCGTGGCTCTGCAGTACTTCTCAGTCAGTCACACACCAGCTTCCGGCTTCCTCCCTGCCTTCCCTGCCCTTTCCCCTGGGGCGGGACTCTACAAACCACTAAGGAGTGGGTCTGGGGACTTAGGTCAGCTACACTTCTTTGTACAAAGAACAAAAGGAAGATGCTTAGCTAGTGATCTGTCAGACCGAAAATCACGGAACCCCACACAAGTTCCGATTCCCTCGCCTCCCCACTCACAGGGTGTGGCAGCAGAGAGCCTCTCTCTTTATTGTTCTCATTAACTGTGACCCAAATCTGTCTGTCTGAGGAAGTGCAGGCAGTCCCAGTGCATCCTCCACACTGCTAACTGACAGCCTAGGTCTCCTTCTCCCACCGCTTTGCCGAGGGAATCTGGGGTGGGGGAGGGACCCTGGAAGTTCAAACAGATGTCACTGATGCAAGTCACTTCTGTACAAACTCCTGGAGCTACTGGCATGCCTAATTTTTGCTCAGTGTGAATTGTGGAGTCTGGGATGTGGAATTTATGCTGGTCCCTCCTGAATTGATTTGGAACAAGTCACTCCTCAGATGTCTATGACAAAGAGCCTTTGGGCGCATAAATGAGATTGAAAGTTCCCAAAGCCAGTTGGGCCCTGAGGTCAATAAGTAGATTGGTCTCCAGTCCCTTAAAGTTCCAGCCTGAGGTCACAAAGGGACCCTGCTCAAATT